CCGTCCACTGGAGAGCTGTCCTTGTCAAAGTTTCGCAAGGCATTCTGCAAATACTTTCAGGTCATCTCTATCTCCTTCCGCCGATAACGTTTGCATGTTATGAACATTGTGTTTTCCTGTCCTGTTTTTCATTTGGCGATCTTGTTTAGCCACAATATTCACAAGCTAGATGTTGCTAATGAGAATGGCGCTGCAGGGAGTTACCAGGGGATCTGGCCGACGTTCAACACTCAAGGAAAAGGCGAGACGGTTACACAATCAGACACTTACTGGTACTATCGGAATTGGAAGTCTTTGCTTGCTGCTGCAGAGGGGGACAGAGCGCTTATGGGAGTGTCTCGAGTGCTGTGGTGTCGATTTTTAATTAAATATTTATTCATTCCACCGGTGCAATGGTTTTCTCTTCAACCCGGTTCAGAAACAATAATATTTAAAAATTATAATAATTATTATTATTATTGAAGGTTGAACAAAGAATCGGGGACTTACCCTTTAATATTGCTATCCAGGATGCGACACTCTGCTTTGACGAGGTGGTCGAACCTCCATGTGTCAGTCCAGAGGGGAGAAAGTCAATCAGTGTTCACTTCTTATGTGCACTGTGTATACGGTCAGTTAAAAAAAAAATAATTCACAAAAGCTTGATTCATGCGGTATTCGCTACCACCGCTGTCATATTTATAGATTATTATGCACTCAGTGGGTGACCTTACCAGTATCACGCAGGTGGTCTTTGATTCCCCATTCCTGAGACTTCATTAGGTTTTGCTAGTCACACTCGCCATCGCCATGGGCTGTGAGTCCCATGCCTCACCATAGTGCAGTATAACACTATCATTTGAAAGACGAAAAGGTGCCAGTCAGTCAGTCAGTCAGTACACTCAGTGGGTAATTTTACCAGTATTATGCAGGTGGTCTTTGAGTGTTTCCCGAGGCTTCGTTTATACTACATTGATTGCCCGGCTCTCTATCGTAGTTGGCTAAACCGGATTGTGCGGTGAGCGGGTGACGAACTCCTTGTGGTCCGGGTTCACTCCCGGGGGTAGGCAGAAAAGCCACATTTCTCCCAGATTTACGGTATTTACAATCAAGGGCGAAAGGTTGCGATATCCATAATACCGAGCCTAAGGGTTAAAAACTCATGGCTTCTGGATACTAAAACAAACAAACAAACAGACTACATTGACGAAGTCTCGCTGAAAGACAACATAAGTCTGCCCCCACAAGGCTTTGGAAAGACGACCACCTGGCTGGCAGAAAAAGCGTTCTAGCTAGTGTGTTAGTGCGCTTTCCCATCTGTAGCTCATCCTCGTTATCATCATCATTATCATCATCATGCATGATCATCATCATTATCATCATTATTATCATCATCATCAGCACTGCCCTTGACGGTCTTGAAATGGTGTTGCGGTAAATGAGGGTGACTTCTTGCACAAGTACGTCTTTACCGGTAGGAGACACCCCTTTATCACCATGTGCCATGCCGACGAGTGTAGGAGGTCTGACACGATCACCAGAATCAAGGAGCCAAGTCAGCGCTCCTGATTCGCCCCACTCATATGACCAAGTCATATGCTGCCTACCCCATATTATCCCTTGCATTTCAACTTCACTTTCCAGTTGTCGTCTTCATATGTTTTGGTGGTCTACCTTTATTCCATGAACCATGTGGGTTCCTGTGCAAAAACATTATAGTTATGTCTAACCTGCCTCTGGCATTATATGGATAATCAGCAAGGCTTTCCAGAGCAACAAAGGCCTGCAGAAGTCAGATGTGTCGGCCGAAAGGCGCAAATATAGCAACTATGTTGTAAACGGATGAATACAGAAGAAGAACAAGAAGGAGAAGGAGGAGAAAAGAAGAAGAAGAAGAAGAAGAAGAAGAAGAAGAAGAAGAAGAAGAAGAAGAAGAAGAAGAAGAAGAAGAAGAAGAAGTAAAAGATATGGAAGAAGAAGAAGAAAAAGAAGAAGATATGGAAGAAGAAGATATGGAAGAAGAAAAAGAAGAAGAAGAAGAAGAAGAAGAAGAAGAAGAAGAAGAAGAAGAAGAAGAAGAAGAAGAAGAAGAAGAAGAAGAAGAAGAAGATGAAGATGAAGAAGAAGAAGAAGAAGAAGAAGAAGAAGAAGATGAAGAAGAAGATGAAGATGAAGATGAAGAAGAAGATGAAGATGAAGAAGAAGATGAAGATGAAGAAGAAGAAGAAGAAGAAGAAGAAGAAGAAGAAGAAGAAGAAGAAGAAGAAGAAGAAGAAGAAGAAGAAGAAGAAGATATTAAAACAAGAACATACCTTTTACTGACAATAAATATTTGTATGATTATGTAAAAACAGATTTGCCGATGCTTCTAGAGAGAAAAGAACTTTTTGCCAACAAATTCTACATTGATCACTACCCGGCAACGTTACACTGTCTCGACCAGCTTTTGTACAATTTAACAGTCCAGGGAATCACTCGGGATTTGGACTTTTATAGAACTGTTAGTTTCGTGCGGAGCTAGTTAACAGTTCACTGAAAATGTTTGCAAAGTACTCATACACTGAAACTTTTTATGAAAAAAACTATACACTTAAATTGTTTAAGAACTCACAGTACACTTAAACTGTTTAAGAACTCATAATACACTGAAACTGTTTACGAATTACACAATACACTGAAACTGCTTACGAATTACACAATACACTGAAAATGTTTATGAATTACATAATACATTGAAACAACGAATTATACAATACACTGAAACTGTTGACGAATTACACAAGACACTGAAACTGTTTAGGAAGTCCCTGTACAATTTAAGTGTATTGTGGTGTTCGACTATAGTTTCAGTGGGGGGGGGGGGGGGGGAGAGGGGGGGGGGGGGTGTTGAGGGAGTTTAAGGGGGGGGGGGGAGGAATTTATAGACAGCTTCAGTGTACTGGGGAGTTCGTAAACAGTTTTAGCGTACTGTGTAATTCATAAACATGTTTAGGTTATTATTGAAGACTTAGTAAACAATTAAGCTGTTTCTTCTGTCTTAAGCAGGACTCTGCGTATCAGACAATGTACGTTGTGCTAACACTTCTCTGGAGTTTAGTGTGAGCAATTTCTTTAATCTAACTACACAATTTAAAGAGCAGCATATATTAGTAGCATGCTTAAGAGGATTGGAGTTAAGCTTTGGTCTTCTGTTTATCTTCCCCTTGGTTATCTGCTGCCAAATATTCTCGGACTGAAAGAATTAAGTGTATTGTGAACTTCGCAAACAGTTTACCTTTGAGCAGATATGATTCCATTCCAGAAGATTACCAATGCGACCAACAATCTTAAGATACTTACAAGTTGCATTTCGTTGCCATTTTGTCCCACCACCCGTGGTGACACATGATCGGTTTGCACCTCCTTCCAACGCCACTGGGTTTAGGGCCAAGGACCCCCCACCCATTTTCCCCCCTACCAGAAAAATTGTGAACCAACAGTTGAGCTGACCGAACCCCGCTTTCCTTAGAGAATTTATACAATGGAATCAACGCGTTTATAAACTGTATGTGCAAGCATAAATGTCTGCATAGACACTCGCATGAAAACACATAAATTAAACCATTTATTATGGTCTGTTATGGTAATAGTAAGTACAGGTAAAGACACACCATATGGTTTAGAGCCAAGTCTGGAAAGGGGGAGGGGAGTAAGAGACCTATTGCCCCTCTAACATTAACAAACACAACTGCACGTCCTTTGCAGAACCAACACCCCCCCCTCCCTTTTTCCCCCCAAGCATTTGTTGGCTGTTGTGATTTTTCTATGCAAATTTACGTCAAGTAATTTGCCATTGCCCCCTCAGCGCTCCGCTCTTGATGCCACTGTCACAACTAACGCAAGGCGGTGCGCTGTCAAGTAGCCTGCAGCTGGGATCGAACCCTGCACCCCGGCATTAATAAGTGCGTTCGCAACGCTTAAGCCACAGAAGCCCCTCTCACAAGCACGTGGTTAAAAAAGCGACTGGTAGGGGTGTTCCTCTCGAAGTCGAAGTGCATCTGCATGAAAGGTGAGGAACCGTCAGTCCGCTTACAGTTAAGCTTAATTTTAGCCGGAGTTTACAGCAGACGAACGCGAACAAAAAAGAAAAAAAAGAAGAAACAGAAGAAGAAGTTACCCGACCTTGAGATGTATTAGGTATTCAGTGAGTTTTAAAAATATGTACAGGACGCCTTTCGCCACTTTTGGCTCATCAGACATACAGTGCTAGCTTTTTATTATCGATCAATGGGTCCCTTTTACATCCCAGGAAAATACATGGTATATATTTTGGGCCGGATCGACCTGGGATCCCGCGTAAACTTTTTTTTTCAAATCAATTGTGTGGATTTGAACCTTGCACATACAGGCCGACAAGCGGGCTTCCTAGGCTAGGCTAGAAATTTTTTATTGACTAATCAGCCCTGCAACGGAGATAGGGAAATACCAAGCCATATGTCTGTATTTCACACTCTATTTTAGAAGTCCCGGGTAGTTAACGTTCTTTCGACATTTTCCCTCAGGAAATGCCAATGTATTAGGGAATTAACAGGTAGATAGACTGACTAGTTCTGCACAACTCGGTGATCAACTGATGCCTGACAAGTTAGATGTTATAAGGGCCCTTTTGTGGAGGGGGGGGTGGAAGGAGTAATGCAGAAGCACAGAGGATTGAATTATCATGGTCTGAAGATTTGATTCAAGAACCGACATCACACACTCGGGGCATTCCCATAAGCGCTCCGTCCCCATCTTCAGCAGCCAGCGAAGAGTTCCGATACTAATGGTGCCAGAAGCATTTTTATGAAACGTCCGTCTTGCCTTTCCTCTGAGCCTCGAGCATCTGCCAGAACCTCTCGTCACTTCCCCCTGCATCAATCTCACCAGACTGTGGTGATCCATCTGCTCCTCCGAACTGTACACGCTCTCCCACAACGCACTAACCACGTCTGCCTTATTATGCATCAGTTTTCCACCAAGTTGTGCAGAGCCAGCCAGTCTGTCCGCGTATTCATTTCCCAACACACCGGCATCACCTGGTGAAAAAATCCAGATAATACTCCTCCCCCGTGTCCTCCGCAGCGAAGCAAGCCACTCTGCACGAGTGATCTGAAGAGAAAGATACAAGCCAGGAGTGACCAGGGGATCGGGTCGACGATCAGCGCTCAAGGGAAAGATGAGACAGATATACAATCAGACTGCTCTTGGTACGACTGGAACTGGAACACAGCGCTTGCTGCTGAAGATGAGGACAGAGTTTTTGGGAATATCCCGACTGCTGCAATGTAAATTCTTAACTCAACAAAGAATATTTCACACTTTATTTCCTAATATCAGTATTTACACCAAATTTTCATGGACCCACTGTTTCTAAGAACTCCGCGGTTAGACCAAAAATCATGATTTTCTTAAATGTTTGCGAAATAGTCTATGACTCAGATGCGTAAGTTGCCTTGGGAAAGATGCATGCTCTCAAAATTGTGACTTCAATTAGAATGCAGCCTATAGTTAAAAATGTTAAAAACCACACACACACACACACATAAACACACACATAAGCTGTTAAATACTGCTTTACACATTATAGCTTTGCGTGCAGCCTTGAATGTTGAATTAGGAATCGACATCATAGCACTCGAAACACACCCATAAGCGCCCACTCCCCATCTTCAGCAGCAAAAGAAGAGTTGCAATTCGGATACTACAAGCGTGCAGTCTTGACCTCCTAAAGACACATTAATGGTCTCTTCAAACTATCTACCATTATTCCGCGGACCATATCAATATTGTAATGTTTACTCTCGAATTTAGGGAGTCGCCTTGAGTGGGAACCAGGTGCAGTCCTGGGAAGTAAAGGTTGCCGGCGTGATGCTGACCACGTCACCCACCAAGTGCCGATTGATCTATGCAAATATAGGCCAAGTCTTATTTTCCCAATACGCCTAAAGGTGTGAAAAAGGGACCTTTACTTTAACCTACTGTAGAATTTATTTTTTTAAAGTGTACATGTGAAGTAAATAATTTAAATAAGCTGTCTTTTGATTAAATATTGTAACAAATAAACTCCACTGACTGATCTCGCAAAGGTACTCTCCGTGTTCTTATTATGTTCTACTTTACTATCAAGTTAAATTGTATCTTGCTTTTATAACTACAAAGACAACTGCTGTGGAACAACCAGTTCGTGTGACGAAATGTGTGCCGGTTATGTTTTTATAAGTCAACAATATGCAGCACATACAGATAAGATATGTAAAGGCTCATTCAATATCTGGACAGTGCAATAGAACAGACGACAGAGAATCCATACTCTGAAAGTCTAATTCAGCGGGAAAGGGCAGAGGTTCTGAAAGATAGGCAGCACTGAGAGAGGAACATGTGCGGACTTTGAATCCTGTTGCAACTGTAATATCAGCAACTTGACTCCTCGTTGACTACTGAAGAAGGAGACGGGGCACGTGTGGGAATGTCCTGAGGGCAGTGAAGAAAATTCTTGATGTATTCATTTATTCAGCATGTAGTTTTCCTTTTCCATGATTGCAGTATGTAGGAGTAACATTTCAAGGATGAGAATCAAACAGGTAGCAATCCGAAAACCCCATTGAACCGTATATACAAATAGCACAATTATACGAGGGCACCACAAAACGGGCTGACATCAAAATCACAGTGGGTGTTTAATTTAAGAAAAAAAAATACCATATTAATTCCTCTCATCTTCTTATTATCTGCCAGTTATGTTTTAATCAGCCGACCACGTTTAGGACAAACAGGTAATGTATGCAAGTGTTTATTCACTATTTAGTTGCAGTTAGATCTTCATATGAATCAAGCAATCTAGTTACTGAGTAGCATTATGGGCCATATCCGAAAAAACCGATGAACATTAAACTGGATCCATTCAAGAGATGCGAAGAAATCAGAGAAATTTCTGAACAGACGCGAATTTCAACAGTTGTCAGGAATATTTATGTTGAAGGTATTCTGTGCATCCATGGATTTGTCGAGCGTACCTTAAAGAACACAGATCAGTTATCATAGAGGCAACCGGAGCAAGGTATATGCAATGGATACCATCCCACTGAAGAGTTCCTGGAAATGAAAGACCTGATAGACTAGCTAATGAAGGTGCAAATGAAGAAGAACCTCACGTAACAATCTCTTATCAACAAAAAAGAGAATAATCAAATTAATCAGAAATCCATCAAAAGCGACAGAAGAAGATTATCATATAATGGACAGACTATAGCAAGTCATAATGCTACGCCTTATTACAGAGCACAAGAGACTTCGCGGCTACATGTTCAGATAATTTAAGATTTTCGAATCAGCCATGTGCAGATGTGGATAAGCACCTGAGACAACAGATCACATCCTCCGAGACTGGTCCAATATAACACCTGAGATAACAGAACACATCCTCCAAGACTGTCCAGTATAGCACCAGAGACAACATAACACATCCTCCAAGACTGTCCAATTTAACACCTGAGACAACAGATC